ACTTTCCCGGACTAACCCCTTTTATGAACAAGTCATCCAGGTTTTATGACTGATAAATAATTCAGGTAATTGATTGAGACCCAATTTGGTGCACCTCTCTGTAGTCAGCACTAAAGAGTACAGTATAAAATGGGTTCAGCATAGAAAGACACTCTGCTAATTAACTAAATAGGGCGAGGTTGCCAATAAGTTGAAATCCTGGGTTCTCACACTTTGAGCCACTCAAGACATTAGGTTTATAGGCCTGTGTCCCCCAAGACTCTCCTTCTGTTGTCTTTCCCTTTTGTGTTCCGTCCTGTCTACAGGAAACAGAAATTTGACAGAATGCTCTCTCTGCAATGCTGACTGCCCTCATTAGAGAAGTCTGCTAGACTAATCTCTCCATGCTGCCCACTTACAGAATTCAAGACAACAGGAAGAAAATAATTTAGGCAAAAGAGCTTAAAAACCTGAGAGGCTTAAATAACCTGGCAGGAGACAAAGATTATTTTTCTCTTATAGGGCCCTGAAAATTTTCTCTAGAGTGCTATGCATGGAAAAGATGTAAGAGTGCCTGGCAGGAAGTCAAAGGACAATATCCAGTATTTTCTTGTGCAGGAAGCTTTGACTGGGTTTAAATCTAGCACTGGCCTAAAATTCATAAAACAGATAATTTTTTAAAAATGTTTTTTTAAAACCCTAGCCCAAGCAGCAACAATGAAGAAAGGCTAGAGACCAGATCTGGTGTAGATCCTATATTTCCCTCCCCAAAGATCACCCCCACTCCTGCAATGCGAGGTGCATCGGCAGACAGCTGTACCAATGCACCGTTCCAGTGACGTTTTGCTGCCCCTGAAGCAACAGTGGCTAGAATTGTAAGCTCCTGGCAAACGCTTGCTCTAACTATGGTGAAGAGTGCAAAAGCTCAGGCAGGGTCTACACTATGAAGTTTTGTTGGCATAGCCAAGTCAGTGAGGGGTGTGAAGAAACTACACCCCTAACCGACATGCTTATGCCAGAAAAAAACCCAGCTATGCTGAGGAAAGAGGGCTTCTGTTGGCAGAGCTAACATCGATGGGGAAGGTAATGTTACTGTGCTGGAAGAACATGTCCTCCTCCTCTGGACATACACTGCATCCACACTAGAGGGCTCTGCAGTATAGCTATACCAGTATAGCTGCATTGGAAGAGCCTAGGTAGCGTAGACAAAGGCCTCAGTGCCTAGAGAATGCAAACAAAAAGGAACCAAGGAAGGACAATTAGGGTACGTCTACACTATAGCTGGAGACGTAACTTCCAGTCCAGGTAGACGTAGACAGGCTAGGTTTGATTGAACACCAGCATAGACACGATGGCATGGGAGACCTGCCTCAACACAATCCTGTCTGAGATCCTAGGTACATACTTGAGCCACACCTATTTTTAGCATTATAGCTCAATCAAAGCTCCTGTGTATGCGCTTTCCTGAGCTGGAATTTACACCTCCAGCTCCAGTGTAGATGTGGCCTTAGGTCAAAGGAAGTCGGTAAAGATAAATCCGAACTGAAGTCGTACAAATTATTTGGAGTAGACATTATTGTTAACAAACACTATGAATAGTGGTCACTGAGTGCTAGCCACACGCTCAATGCTGTACAAGAAAAACAGTTTCTCCCCCAACATTAAAACCTATTTATTTAGCCGTTTCCAGAGTAACCAGCGTAACTGTAAAATAATGGAGTAATTAGAGCAATGACAAATCGCGAGTCAGATACTGTTGCCCTTGCTTCCTTGACTCGCATATTACTCCACTCACTGAGCAAAATGGGACAACTCACAGAACAGAATACTACTCAAGTAAAGGTGGCGTAATGTGACCCTAAAGGAGCAAAATTATTTTAAATGACTACTAGGCTTCTAGAGAAGCAGCCAATAAACCAGCAAAAAGACTATCACGACCATCAGGCTAAAATATCACTAAAGCTTTGGTACCAGGAGCTTTTTTCTAAAATAAACAAGCAAGTAAAACCTACATGATTTAACAGGACCAACATGACAGGCAAAGGATAACCAGAGGCATACAAGACCCAAGATCTCTTGCCATGAGTAAAACCTTGATAAAAATTTCTCTCAGAGAACCAGATGCTCTTGCAGACATCTGTTTACCGGGACCTACAGACAAGCAAAGCCTTGTCCATATTCTGAGTAGGTATTTTCAGACACAGACAGTTATCAACATCAGCCAGACAACTTGAGATGTGACTGCAAATGTCCTCAGACAAAGCAGAGAATGATGTCCTGCAAACCTGCACAAAATACTGAAAACCCTTGTGCCTGTATTAAATTGAAGTTGAACAATAAGGGGACCAAAGGCAGAGCCCTGAAGCTCCCTTGTGCCTGTAAAATCACATAAAACCAGGAATATCGTCATACTTCCTGTTTTAGATCACCGTTTTATTTAATTTATATATTTTTGCTGGCAGTCATAGAATCATAGAATATCAGGGTTGAAAGGGACCTGAGGAGGTCCTCTAGTCCAACCCCCTGCTCAAAGCAGGACCAAGCCCCAATTTTTGCCCCAGATCCCTAAATGCCCTCCGCAAGGATTGAATTCAAAACCCTGGGTTTAGCAGGCCAATGCTCAAACCACTGAGCTATCCCTCCCCCTTAAATTCACAATCATCTGTGAAGAAAGATTTAAGACTCAAAGCTTGGGTGTTAGGCCTCAGACACCAAAAAAATAATAATTAAAAATAGAAGGAGCATTTGATTAATAGTATCAAATAACCCTCCTATTGATGAGACCTTGAGATTTGGTAGAAATCAGACTGTTGAAAACTTTAAAGTTGTTTTGGTAAAATCAAAAGAAAAATCAAGATTGACATGCATAATATATAAGAGGATGAAAAATAAATGGCAACATTTGGCCCATGTACCCAAACAGCTTGGAAACAAAAAAGTAATTTTAGTGCTATTTCTAGGGGGTTGAGAATCTACAGCAAGACTGTGTATTGTACTCTTAAACAAGAAAGGACAGACACCCAAAATCAGAAAAGAATAAATAGTTACAGTAAATCTAAATGTAAAAAGGAAGAAGACCTCTTGCAAAAAGCTAGATGGACTGGGGTCAAGAAAGACATCTAGTAAGTTTAATAAATCCTAATAAGAGAGATCAGAAACTGGAACAAAGGAATAAAATAAAATTTAAATAAAAGAAAGAAAGTGAATAGTACCAGCAGCAGTAAAAGCTATCACTCTATGATCATGCAATAGATCTCCTGACCCTGCTAATCTTTGCTGAGAAGGAGTGGCAAAATCTTCGGGGGGGGGGGGGGGGGGGAGGAGGAACAGTAGGAACAGCTAGAGAGTGAAGAGGAACAAAGTACCATATCAACAAGGAATCAGATTACATAGAAATTTGTCTAGAGCTGTTCACACACACAAATACTGCTTTGCAGACGCTAATTTGAGGACATATGAATCACCAGACTGGATCTGACCAGTGGTCCATCTAGCCCAGTACCCTGCCTCGGACAATGGCCAATACCAGCTACTTCAAATAATGTGCAAGAACCCCTGCAGTAGGCAGATGAGCTAACCTGTCCCCAGGAAAAGTTTCCTTCTAACCCCCTGTAAAACAGGGTGGTCTGCCCTTATAAGGGCCTGGGGCCAGCCAGTCCTCTACAATATTCAGATCCAGCTGAGAAGGGGGTCAGGTGATTCATATAAGAGGCTGAAAGAGCTCAGCTAAGGAGAGCTGTGGGAAGCAACCTAAATCCTGTGTGGCTGGTCCTGGAGAGGGAGAGAAACACACAAAAGGAATAGCTTCTGGGACCCTGTAGCCTGCTTTGGTCAGAGGGATAACCTTTTGATACTTCACAAGCTTTATACAGCAGCACCCCGACTAGTCGATCTAATTGGGACCGGAGCCAGATCGGATCATCAGAAATCTGGATAATCAGGAGAAAGGGCAGGGCTTTAGCTGCCAGCCTGAGCCCGACCACCTTGTTCAGTTAATACAGACAGCCAGATAATTCTACTGCATTTGAAAAAGAAAACTGTGCCCTGAAAGCCTCGACAGACTTGTGGGGGTAGCTTTAGCATTTCGTGGGCTGGGAAGACAGGTCAGCACCCTACAGCTCCAGTAGAGATTGGCCAATATCCTGAACCATGAGGGCTAAGAACCCTTCTGGATATCCTTAATTATCTGTACACCAGTAGAAGATGAGGATAACCCTCTAAATCATTAAACAATAAGTAAGCCGAGCTCCATTCAAATCTTCTCAAAACTTACAGATCCACAGCTAACAAGCTCTTAACTGAGTCATTAATCCAGCAGCTCTCTTCTCAGTGCTGGAAACAGCAGTACTATTAGTCTAATAACGCAGGCAACTCATACAAGGTGAAAAGAAGACCATGACAAAACAAGTCACATTTAAAACTATTGAACTAGTTACTAGTAAGATGCTGGTGACTAGCTCTATGCTGTAAAGGTGATTTACAGCAAAAACAGATACATCAATAAACTACACCAAACTGTGATCAAAAGTAGGAAACATGGCATGTAAGCTTATCAATAGGACAAGGTCTCACAATTACAAGATCCACAATACAGAGCATAAATTTATAAGGAAGAAGGCTGCTCGCTCCCCATATTGCTTGAATCAAGCTGGCTTGACTGAGAAAAAGAGCTGCCCCCAAAACCAGTCACTTAAAATTATTGAGTGAATCAACATGAGTTCATCCACCCAAACACAAGAAAGGTCTAAAAGCTAGAAGGGAGGGATAGCCTGCTACAATCCAGGTTTGCAACACACAGACCTACCACCTCATCCAAAACCTAACCCCCAAATCTTTCAGGCTAGGTTTTTGACTGCATGGAATTCTCTGCTTTGTGCTTCACCTTGCCAGGAAGCAAAACACAAGGCAAAAATGCTTCTGCAACTGCCCATCTTAGAAGAGCTTGGACTAAAAAAAACCCACAAATACCAGTTATTTGTCAGGAGAGTGTAAGTAACCTGGAGGTCACAGACTGCTCTTACCTGTATGTCAGTGTCCTTCACAGGCTCAAGAGGCTCAAATGTAGTGACTGCACTAAGACTCTCCAGCCGCTGAGAGATATGGGATATGTCAAGTCCTCTGGACCCAAGAAGAACGGATCTATATGGGGGAGAAGGAGAAATCTGATATTAAACAGATAAGGCTACTTTTAATATCTCTGGAAAAAACATCTGCATTTCATAGAATATCAGGATTGGAAGGGACCTCAGGAGGTCATCTAGTCCAACCCCCTGCTCAAAGCAGGACCAATCCCCAACTAAATCATCCCAGCCAGGGATATTTCAAATATTTAGATCAGTGGATGTACAGAGAAAGAAGGTTCTCTCTTTTTACATCAAACCCTGAACAAACATATGTGTAAAGCTATAACATCTAGTATTATCAGCCCTGAAAAGATGTGAAGAGAAAATAGGATCTCCCTTTTTAAACCAATGCTGTTCTCATTGCCCAATGCAGAAGCGGACAGCTGTCAAATCTTTCCATTCGTAAAAATTCTAACGCACCTTGGTAACTTAGTGCCATTTCCAGAACAGAATACAGTTTGATTTTAAATGGTGGTGCCGCAGATTAATACATTGGTCACTTACCAAAAACTCAAAGTTCCAGCATTTTCTTCTATCAAGCCTCTGAGTGGAAAATAATTACTTATCAGTAATTCTGTCTGCCCTGATCATCTCTTTTCCTCTTCGCCCTCCCACATCTTTCCAAAATCCTTTACCCTATACTGCATGCCTCCTCCTTAGTAGGAAGCGAAGGGCAAAGAGAATCAACCACCCCAGCAAACCAGAACCTGATCCACCCCTTCATTCTAGGGCTGCCTAGGCAATTTGCCTCTAAAATAACATGAGCAATGGATTCATACATTGGGGAGGACAGGAAGGATGTGGAATGTGTGAAAGAGAAAGGGATGCAGACAAAGAGCTTTAAACCAGGAACTTGGGGGAAACGAGTAATCTCCATGCCTGATTCTAATATTGACCGGGAGGATAATCAAGGAAGAGAGAGTACAGCAATGGAGAAAGGGTAGGAGAATGGGCATTAAGAGGAAATAATAGTGCCAGTACCAATGAAGCTAACAGTCAGGTAGGTGATACTGGCAATAGAATGACTGTACCTAATCAGGCGAGGAAACTGGGCAAAGCCAAACAGATGTTTGTATACCAATGCAAGGAGTCTGGCTAACAAAATGAAGGAACTAGAACGGTGTGGGGAGTGAAATCAGATATTATAGGGATAACAGAAAAAATGGTGGAACTAATAGCTTTCTTTGACAGGGTAACAAGCCTTGTGGAAAGGGGGGGGGAAGTGATAGATGTGGTATATCTTGACTTTAGTAAGGCTTTTGACACTGTCTCGCATGACCTTCTCATAAACAAACTGGGGAAATACAACCTAGATGGAGCTTAGGTGGGTGCATAACTGATTGGAAAAACGTTCCCAGAGAGTAGTTATCAGTGGTTCACAGTTAAGCTGGAAGGGCATAAAGAGTGGGGTCTCACAGGGATCGGTTCTGGTTCTGTTCAATATCTTCATCAATGATTTAGACAATGGCATAAAGAGTACACTTATAAACTTTGCGGACAATGTCAAGCCTGGAGGAGGAGTTGCAAGTGCTTTGGAGGATAGGATTAAAATTCAAAATCATCTGGACAAACTGGAGAAATGGTCTGAAGTAAACAGGATGATATTCAATAAGGACAAATGCAAAGTACTCCACTTAGAAAGAAACAATCAGCTGCACACGAACAAAATGGGAAATGACTGCCGATGAAGGAGTACTGCAGAAAGAAATCTGGGGAACATAGTGGATCACCAGCTAAAGATGAGTCAACAGTGTAACACTGTTGCAAAAAAGCAAACATATTCCAGGATGTATTAGCAGGAGTGTTGTAAACAAGACACAAGAAGTAATTCTTCTGCTCTATTCTGCACTGATTAGGCCTCAACTGGAGTATTGTGTCCAGTTCTGGGCGCCACATTTCAAAAAGATGTGGACAAACTAGAGAAAGTCTACAGAAAAGCAACAAAAACCATTAAAGGTCTAGAAAACACAACCTATGAGTAGAGCCCTACCACATTCAGGATCCATTCTGGTCAATTTCAAGGCCCTAGGATTTGAAAAATTGGTAAATTTCACAGTTTCAGATGTTTTAAATCTGAAATTTCAGGTGTTGTAACTATGGGGGTCCCAACGCAAAAGAGGGTTGGGGGGGGTTGTCACAAACCTGTTGTAGGGGAGTCACGGGATTGTCACCTTCACTGCTGTGTTGCCTTCAGAGCCGGGCTCTGAAGCTCCTAGCTGCTAGTCCCAGCCAGGCTGGGGAGGACAGGACTTGCTCTTCCCCTGCAGGGCTGCTCTTGGAGGACGGAGGGGAATGATGGAGCAGATCCACCTCCGGATGTTCCCCCTGCTGTACTCTGAAGGCAGCACAGAAGTCCTGTCCTGCCCCAGCTCAGCTGGGACTCGCAGTTAGAGGCCCACGGCTGGGACACTCCCAGCAGCACAGGGGAGATCAGATTTCACAGGGAAGGGCTTATTTCACACTCCGTGACACATTTTTTAAGGCCCTGAAATTGGTAGGGCCCTACCTATGAGAGAAGATTGAAAAATATTAGGGTTGTTTAGTCGGGAGAAGAGAAGACAGAGGGGACATGATACCAGTTTTCAAGTACATAAGAGGTTGTTACAAGGAGGAGGGAGAAAAATTATTCTCCTTAACCTCTGAGGGTAGGACAAGAAGCAATGGACTTAAATTGCAGCAAGGGAGGTTTAGATTGAACATAAGGAAAATGTTCCTGTCAGGGTGGTTAAGCACTGGAATAAATTACCTCGGGAGGTTGTGGAATCTTTATCATTGGAGATTTATAAGAGTAGGTTACACAAACACTTTTCAGGGATGGTCTAGATCAGCGGTTCTCAAACTGTGGGTCGGGACCACAAAGTGGGGCCGAACCCCCTTTGAATGGGGTCGCCAGGGCTGACTTAGACTTGCTGGAGCCCAGGGCCGAAGCCTGAGCCCCGCTGCCCAGGGCCGAAGCCAAAGCTTGACGGCTTGCAGCCCTGGGCAGCAAGACTCAGGTTGCAGGCCCCTGCCTGGGGCTGAAGCCCTTGAGCTTCAGCTTTGGCCCCCTGCTTGGAGTGGTGGGGCTCGGGCTTTGGCCCCCCACCTAGGGCAGTGGGGCTTGGGTGGGCTCAGGCTTCGGTCCCCTCTCCTGGGGTCATGAAGTAATTTTTGTGGTCAGAAGGGGGTCACAGTGCAATGAAGTTTGAGAACCTCTGATCTAGATAATACCTAGCCCTGCCATGAAAGCAGAGAACTGGAGTAGATGACCTCTCAAGGTCCCTTCCAGTCCTACAATTCTATGATTCTACGAACCAAATTACAAGTTGTTTTCTCTTGTTGTATGTAATGGAGACCCTTTGTCCTTTCTAAATAAAAATTCAAGAACCCACTTTCCAGAATGCTTTTCTGCCGGAGAACTTCAGTGTAGAAATATGGAATGCAAGGACAGAGAGTTCTTAACATGAATGGAGTGTTCTCTTAACGAGACTAGGAAAAATCCTATCAGCTGGCAATTAAGGACAGCCAAAACTCAAAGTAATTACTTACTTCCCAGTGCACAAGTTGCTGACTTACACTTAAAAATCTGGGGTCCACTCAGAGATCTCGACAGCTAACCTGAGGTGAACAATACCCCCAGCCTCCCACCTAAGTTTTACTGCTTCTGAGTTACTGCCTTAGTGGCAGAAGAAATTAAATTATTTGCCCATCCAGTTGACTGTGTTAAATTTCTCCTCCAGCTGCACTCAGCGGTTTATCCCCAAACTCCATGTTAGGAAGAGTGCAAATGGCTAACTGCATGTGCACTCTCATCAAACTGCATTAGAAGGCACAGCTAAAGTCTGTGCTATCAGTAAGGGAACTGAGACCAGTTTTCATTTTCAATCTCAAGCCAGAGGTGCCAGTCAGCCAACCTATCTGTCTTCTGACAGGGCCCTACATTGTAATACCTAAGCACTTCACAAAAACATTAACCTGTTTATCCTGAAAACTCCCTTGTGATGCAGGGCAGTGTCATTATCCTAATTTTACAGAGGCTCAGAGAGATCAACTGACTTGCCCATAGTCACACAGGGAGTTGGTTGCAGAACCTGGAATAGAATCCAGATCTCCAGAGTCCCAATCCAACACTTGATCCACAAGCCCATATTCCCTCCCTATATTTAAATTTGGGCGATCACAGGTAGCCCAACACCCGGGATGGCGTGGGGTTGGGTTTTAGTAACTCATTTCGACTTCGTACAAAAATGCTGGGACAAATTGTATTCTTTTATCAGACAGCCAAATTTAAGATGCAGCATGTCCGTTTGCAGAAGGCCTGGTCTGGACTTAAATCTGGGAAATCCTAAGGCAAACTAACATAAAGCAGGTCTTTACAAAGTCAGGATTATTTGACAGTCTTTTTTTTGTGTCCTGATTCTTGGTAGGCAGAGACACAAGCGATTTGGGCAGGACTGAGGGATATCAAGTGACATGTTATAAATGGATGCACATAAAAGGTAAGAGACGATTGGTGAGACTCAATCATACCTATCAAAATTACCACCACCGAAAGCAGTATTTGTACCGCGTAAGCAGGAGGTATGTGTAGATCTTTACAAACACAGGAGTCTCCCTAACTTCTACCCAAAGTACTTCACGGCTCCATTTCAAGATCTTTAAATATGTTAGCTCCTGAAAAGCTAATGGGCTGTTTCTTCGGCATTCCTAGCTCTAAACAGAGTCTCAAAAACCCAAGTACTTACGCCTTGACATCGGCAGTCTCCTGCGACGTGCGGGTCAGAGTCCGAGACCGCAGACGCTCTCCTGCCTGTTGGATCTCCTGGAGGTTGCGTTCTACATGAGGAAGTTCAGAGATGCCCTCTGTCTCAGCTGCAAGCTGTTCTGCTTGCTGGAGAAGTTCTCCAAACCCTTCAGTGTCCATGTGTAATGCCGGTCCTACACAAGACACACGCACAGAAACCCCTAAGGAAAGAGAGAGAGAGACTTGCTTGACAAAACAAGTAAAAGTTCCCTCATTGATTCCAGTAACACCTGTTCTCAGGGTGCAATAATTGGTTGTTGTGTACAGAATAATCACACTACAGATCACCCCAAACTGCTGTAAATCTTGAGGATACTTTAAAGTGGTCTCTTAAAACAGGCAGTTGCCTAGTAGAGATGAGGCTATTAGTGCAGGTTTATGTACTTAAAACAAGTCTAGTGGAGTACCACATTTAATTCAAATATATGGAGGTGGAAGTGAACAGAAGGTACAACTGCCCAAGTGAAGGTATTAATTCGGTCTTGAGTTTAAACTACTTGTGTTTCAACCTGCATATATTTTCTTTTTTTATTTTAATCTTTCAGAAAAAGATATAAAGCCATGCATCACTAAGTCCATAGATGGAAGAAATATGAACAGGCTGTTCCATCGTGAAGGGTATACGCTCTTCCCTCAGTGCACATGGGAAACTTTCATTAGTGTTAATAAGAATTACATACATACATTGAAGGTAGAATGGATCATCTGGAGGAAGTGGACAGTATAAAGTGTGTCGATAACAAACAGGCTGTAACTGATGGGGTCACTAAGGCATCACATAAATCTGAATTCAGAACAGATTTCTAAAAAGGGCTGGGAATGTAGACTTATAGGGATTGATGTGTGAAAGGCCTCTTCTAGTTTCAGCAAGGAAACTCATGTTAATGAAAGTCAAGGCTTCAAACAACAAACTTGGGTGCCTAAAATCAGGCTCAGACATCCATTAAATTCACAGTCAAGTTAATGGGAGCTGCACATGTACAGCATCTCTGAAAATTCAGGCCACTTATTTCAGTTCTTAACTTTTTAGGCACCTAAGTCTGCAAAATTTGATCTCAGTTCCTCACAAGCCTGGAAAGATGGAATCTTGCCTCACCCTGAACAGGGCTAGGCAAGATACCGAGACCGAAGCAGCAGAATATTGTTCTGATTCACAGATTGTTCAGGGAGTACCCCAGGCCAAATGTAAGACAAACATTGCTCTAGAGAAGAGCTCTGACTTCTAAAAATTGCAGCAGCTCAGAGTTCCTGAAATTTAACGTGTTTGGCAAGAATTAAATATCAGAACAGCTGTTTTCAACCCAAGATGAAGTTGGGACAGGCATAATAAAGGTGTAACTTGATGTAGCTCTGCAGATATCTCCTGTAAATAGGATTTATTTTTCATTTAATGCAAGGGATTTACATGTCTAACTCATTAGCAATGGTAAATAAGATCCACCTAACCCCCCCATGCAACCAATAAACTTAGAAGTCTGGGGAAAAAAAAAAAAGAAAAAGAAAAAAAAAGGAGAAGAGCAGAAGCTAATTAATGGACTTGTTTCTCCCAGCAGAGAACATCTGGCCATGCTTACATGAAGGCCTGATGACCCAGAACAGGAAGGATGTATTATTTTAAAACTATTTGTAATGATCAGCATTCAGTAAACAAGATTTTCCAATGTGCAGAGTGCTGGTGCAAAGATGACCATGTTACCTGCAGAGGATATTGAAAGTGAAACTGGACCAGCACAAATGCTGATGTGAACCAACGCTAAACATTCAGCATTAGACTAAGTAGTTCAACACACAAAAGGTGTCGCTCTGATGCAGAATCAGCATCATAATCGTCTTCTGGGAACTGACTAATTAGTTCCCATTTGCTGCCCTTTTTTTTTTTAATTAAATGCATCCATACCCCATCCCACCCCACCCCACCCCGTCTACAGCATCCAGACATTTCATATATCTTGACAGAATCCTATAAACAACAATAATGGAACCTTGAGTCCCCACCACCACCACCACCCCCCCTCCCAACCCCATCATTATCCTTACTTGCAGCATTCCAAGTACAGCAAAAACAAATAACAAAAATAACCAATATTTCTGAATTATTCTCAGTAAGGGTATGTCTACACTGTAAAATAAAAAAAACAAAAACAAACAAACAAGGTCCGTTCTTAACTTGATTAGCAGCTTGATTGTAAGCCTATGCTGGAGCTGAATTTGATCTCCTAATCTGAGTTAAAAGCAGAGCTGCCATGTCATCACTACTATTTTAACCTAAGTTTGCTAATGTGGGTTAGCTAACCTGAATTAGGAACACAGGGGTTGGTTTTTTTGTTGTTTTTTTTTTTGGGGGGGGGGGGGGTTGCAGCGTAGACATACAAGTGAGACAAAGGAGTGTCCTTAGAGAGGACAAAAAGAAAAGGAGTACTTGTGGCACCTTAGAGACTAACCAATTTATTTGAGCATGAGCTTTCGTGAGCTACATTTGAGCTTATGCTCAAATAAACTGGTTAGTCTCTAAGGTGCCACAAGTACTCCTTTTCTTTTTGCGAATACAGACTAACACGGCTGTTACTCTGAAACCTGTCCTTAGAGAGGACGCTGGAAAATAACATGGCACCACATCTGTCTTTGGTCATGACCCGATTCTCAAAGCATGGATATTGACCTTTGCAGAGGCCATCTTTCTTTTTGCAATCTTAAAAAAAAGTCCTCTAAATAGAGGTCACATACTTCCAAGAATTATTCTCCTTACATGGAAGCCACAAATCCAGCTAACTCCTGAACTCAAACAGAGGAGAAGATAGGGGAGAAACACCCTACACTCATATCAGCCTCAATGCACTGATCCACAAACTGGGATCCTCCCTAAACCAAATCTGAACATTGGTGTAACCCCTTTGAATGTCCCCTCTCTCCAAATCATCTCCTTTATCCAGAATTTTAAAATGTCCCTAAACAGAAGAGAAATTAGCACACTTTCTTCCTTTCTCAGTGATCAGAGGAGACAAACTAAGGTCTATGGCACTAACTGTGATCCTTTAACACTAATATGTTGCAAGAGAATAATGAGAAGTAATTTTACTTGCTTATTTGAACAACAAATAGCAAATGAGTCCAATGTGAAAACAGGACTATTTTATAGAAGGAAAATGCCTACAGTTTAAACATCTCAGCATCCCCAAAAGAGACTGAACTTCTTACAAAATGCTCCCTTGAGCAGATGCATTTGTATTTCTCTTACTGTAGTTTCAGTTGTTCAAGAGATATTTGATTAGCACAGTCAGATCACAATTAAGTAGTTTATACCTGTGAAGGAGGGAGGAATGATCAAAGCCACACACACACACACACACAGGGAGCATCTGAGCCTTCCAACAGGGTAGGAGGGAAGGGCCAAAAGCTACTTCTTGCCAAGTCATCCAAGTACATCCAAACAAGCAGCCACCTTCTGTGATGTTGAATATATCCAGTACATCCTGGCAATCACATGATTTCCATCCATCATCAGTCTAAGGTGAAATCATCATGAACTGACAAGGAGGATAAGAAGAGAGTGAGGGAGATCACAAGTAAAAGGTAACATATTTTAGCTCTGAAAAATGTATTTTAAAAATCCTCTGCTTAAGACATACAGTGTAGTAAAAAAGAAATCCAAGAATTCTAATGGAATGGATTTTACATTCACTAGGCATCCAGTTTCATCACTGTGGCTAAGCACCACTGTTACCAGTGCTAAGAGAACTATTCAGCACTATCTAGATAGGCGTTTGCTTAAAAGTATTATGTTTTGTGATTCAGACTCATGCAGTTAATTAAAAAAAAAAATCCAAGAACATTTCATACTATTATTTTGCATAAACACAGCGACACAAACTAATAGCCTGCCTCCAGACATTAGGGCCCATGTAAACATTCTCCACCCACTGCTGGCTAGCTACCGAACTGTGCTGGGGCAGACGTGGCAATCAGGTTTATGCCTGCCAACAAACCAGACTGGATAGTTTGTACTGGATTTGTTAGAAAAGATTAGCAAGCCAGTGGAAGAAAGGCAATTTCATGCCCTGCAATGCAGTATAGGACATTTTTTCAGCTTTTACTTGTGAACTGCTTCCCCTTAGCAGAGATCTCCTGTGCTTGGCTGCCAGAAGCAGCCTCTGTTGGCAGACAGTGACCAGAATAACCACGCTCCCATACAGTTAAGACTGCTAATGTCAGTTTCTGAGGGAGCAGCGTGTATGGCACTGACTGCAAGAATAGCACAGAATTTAGTTTGATCTGATTTGATCCGGTCCACTTCCCTTTTTCATTAACTACCTCGATAAAAAGCCAGCAGCATAAGCAGGAGCTAACGTCTCAGAGAGCACTGAAATCAAAAGCATGAAGAGTCAGTGCAGTGTAAAACAGCTCCCAAACCTGCACTTTTAGCCATAGACTCAGCGTCAACACCAGGCAGGGTTTGTTCCATAAATTTTCAGATATGGGACCATTTCAACAAACTCTGTGAAAACAGAGAATGGTTTAGGTAAATCTGGAATAAACAGGAGTTATTTTAACCACACACACTAAACTAACTGTGGTTATAACAAATCTGTGGTAATGACAACTCACTACTCATCTAGAGAATGATCAGCAAATGGCTTTTTTCCAAACAACAACATTAAATGGTTAGACAGAACAGCAGCACAAAGAAGATAGTCTTTACACTGACAGAATTTACTGCATTCAAGAGACTGCAGTCTGACTCTTAATACTGCTGTTCAAGATGGGAACTGCTACTACAGTAAAGAGCAGAATGATGGCAGATTTTCATGTCTGGCTTGGGAAAGAACAACTGACACCTCAGGGAAAGAAAATGCAGAGAGAAGAAATTAAACTAACTTCTGTGATGCCAGATTGACCCTGGGCTAAAAGCCAGGACAGGCACAGCTCTTCTGGAAAACAACATTAATAACTTATCAATAGATGATGCTGCATTAAACTACTATTCCATGTCCAATAAAACACAAATTTTAACATTTCTCCAACATTCTGAAACCAAGAATAAACTCTGAAGATTGTATTAGTTGCCTGAATTTAAGCCAAAAGGAGCCCATAAGAGACTGACTCGTTTGTTAACTCCACGCAGAGGATTTTCAATGATGGTTTGCTATTAAAAAACGAAGTCTCC